TGTGTGTGTGTGTGTATGTGTGTGTGTGTGTGTGTGTGTGTGTGTGTGTGTGCCCAAGATCCCGAGAGGAGAATGGAGGAGAAGGGATTGTGACATGACCATCCCCCCTGGGGGGGTGATTTCTCGCCTTCTGTCTCTATGTCTCTCTCTGTCTGTCTAGTGAGCACACGTGCCATATAGCGAAAACCTCTCAAAAACAAAAAAAAGAATAAATAAGGTAAGGACCAGCAGATGGTGTAATGGTTACATTGCTGGACTCTCACATCACCAACCGCAATGCAGATAAGAGCTGGACCTAGAGCGTTGAGACTCAAGAGATGGGTGCATATACATGCACGCCCAAAATTCCACGAGGAGAATGGACAAGGGATTGCAGCATGGCCATCTCCCCTAGGGAGTGATTTCTTGCTTTCTGTCTCTCTTTGTCTCAGGTGAGCACATACTACCCTATAGCAAAAATTGCTGTCTCTCAAAAAAACAGGTAACGATACCTTTACTTAATTATTTTGGAAAATACATGATAAATAAATAAATAAATAAAAACAGTAAGTATTACACCAAATAGCAACTCTAAACAAATACCCATCTTCTGCTTTATATGACCAGATATAATCAGATACTAAGTGACAAGCCATGTTCCTGATATAAGAATACTATCAGAAGGCCAGAGGCCAGCCAGTAGCATGGTCATTAATGCAACTGACTCCCATACAGCTAACCGTGTGGTTCAAGTACTGGACCTAATGGTTTGAAAAACACACCAGAAACATGTACACGCATGCCAAAATCTCAAAAGGAGGGAGAATTAGAGAAGGGACCATTCTGCAGAATTAGAGGACTCCAGTAGTACTGACTGACTGGGCTGTGTGATCATTCGCCACAGGGGGGACTTTCTCACTTTCTCTCTCTCCCGTGCTCTCTCACCAAGCACATGCATATTCTAGCAAATAAAAATAATAATAAGAAGAAGGCGGCCACCCACAGTAGCCCAGCAGTCAAGCAATACTCTGATGCTGAAGTCATTGGGAAGGTCCTGGCTTCTGCAGACACATGCACCCACGATCCTGGGGGGATGAGCGGGATGTGGACTGCAGCAGAAAACCCTGTTGGGGATGAAATCTCTTTCTCTCATGGGAGAAATAATAAACTTTAAGACGATACTAGAGCATTAACACACGTAATTATTCCTCTATCACTGAGTCCCTACCTCCATAAATAGCAAAAGCTTGGTCATAGAAAAACCTCCTCTTCAAGGTATCTTCCATTTTTGCTCTGTCTACTATGTCATCTTTGGGCTGCAATGCCAGTTCCTGTAAGAGATAAAAAGTAAGTAATTAGAAGAGTGGGTGAGAATTTGAAACTACATGTCTGAAATCAGTTTATTCCTCAGGAGCATTCAATATAACTTATCAGACAAGATTTTGATAAGTTAAGAGAATAGAAGCCCTAGAGTAGTAGAAAAGATACCTTTGCTTAGTTATTTAGGAAAACACATGATCTTTCCAAGATTACAAGACTAAGCTAATTTAGATCTAGATTCTGATAAGCAACATAAGAAATACCTGAATATTTACTGGATCAATACAGCGAAATGACTCTAAGGTCCCCAAGTTATTTATTGGTGATAGGAAGCTTATTATTTGAAAAGTCTGAGAGCACATATCTGATGGATAGATCTTAACCTCATAAAAAAAAAAAACAAAAATTCAAAAACAATAAAATCATTCCTTCTAGGCACAGGAGAATCGGTACAGAGCACAGTGCCTACCAGTTAAATTCATGTATTGAGTCTAGGACTGGTTGGAGGGTGAAGTAGTCAGGGATCAGGAAGGCTTTCTAGAAAGGATTATATTTGAGGCTGAACTTGAAAAAATAAGGAATTTGCCAGGTAGAGAAGAAAGAAAAGGCATTCTGGATAAATAGATGACCCAAACGATACTTGTTGAGAAACTTCTCTAGTTCTCTCCCACCAAAGAGATTAAAAATAAAGATAAAACAATCCTATCCCTACTCAGGTTATTATGTTAGCATCCCAAGACTCACCTTTGCTTCCAGAACTCTCTTTCGGGCTTTGAGCTCAGCCACTGCTCTGTCTACATCTACTTGGGGTGCTTTATCTTCTTTCAGTTTTCGCACAAGGTCTCCCTGGTTAACAAAGAGAATTTATATTCAGGATTGCTCGCAGAAGTCAAGAGATGTTAGAAATGTGGTTTTCTTATTCTTTTTTTTTTTTTTTTTTTGAGATTTTTGCTGTAGGGCACATGCACTTGCCAGAGACAGAGAAAGACACAGTGGAAGGAAATGAGAAATCACCCCCCAAGGGGGATGGCCACACCACAATCCCTTCTCCTCCATTCTCTTCTTGAAATTTTGGGCACACATGCACACACGCCCAGCACGAGTTTTAAGCTGCCAGGTCCAGGACTCGAACTGCGGTCAACTACATGGGAGTCCAGTGACATAACCATTATGCCATCTGCTGGTCCCCTAGAAATATGTTCTTAAGCACGCCTTTTAAAAAGCATCTGTGTAAGAATAATACAATTCAAATGTGTTTATCTGGGAGGCCATTATGAACAACCAAAGGTCTGTGCCCTCACCATTTATCATCCAGAAGAGTGTACAGAAAAGTAACATGCTCACAGAGGGAATAGTTTCTTGAGGAAGCACGATGGAGGAAGAGAGGGAAGTACTGATATGAAGTAGGATATAGGAATAGATGACTGCACAGAGGCTGAAGCCACACAGGCTCCCAGCCCAACCTGACGAGAGAGACTGGAAGCAGCAGCCTATGCTGTGGACCAAGCTACCTGGAGGCTAGGGCCCCATAACATGGTGACCCTGTCAAAAACATCTATCCTTCCACCCTCTGCACGCACACCTGCAATGCACTGCCACATGTGTGCTTGTTGGTGTGCATATACACTCCTCTCTCATTAAAGTATTTAGTAAAGAGCAAGATTTCTCCTGGAAACACAGGAGAACCAATTAGATCACTGTTTCCTTGAATCTCTCCTCTCTAGCTTATAAAAAATAATTTAAGAGGCTAGCAAATGGTGGGGCGGTTAAGGTGGATGGATCCCACATAGTCACCAGCACAGTTCAAGTCCCAGAGCCAGTGGCTTGAAAAACACCATAGGCACATGTGCATGCGAGCCCAAAATCCCAAGAGGAGAATGGAGAAGGGACTCTGGTATGGTCCCTTCTCCAGGAGGGAGATTTCTTACTTTTCCTGTGTCTGTCTGTCTCTCTCTCTCTAGTGAGTGCAAACTACTGGGTTGTTACAAAAGTCGTGACATATTTTTTCTGTGCAAAAAAAGCATCATGACTTTTCTGACAACCAAAAAAAATAAATAAAAACAAAAAGTTATTTCCCATCTACTCCCCCGACCATCCTTCTCAGTCATTTCTGCTTCATCTTCCTTTGTCTTTTCTCAATTGTTAGAATTTTCTTCCCTGTTAATTTTTCTGATTGATTTATTCACTTTCAACAATCTACTACTCGATATAGATTTCACTTTTACAATAATGTGGTGGAATAGGCGATCTGAGGAAACAAACTAAGCACTACCTACATGGTCTGAAACCGCCAAGCTGGGAAACTGAAGTTGTTAAGTTGAAAGCGCACTGGGGCACCCAACGGAAGCAACTATTCTCAAGAGGAGCGGACCTTCCACATAGGCCTCTGAGGATTTTCAGAGATTAAGGTTACCAAAATATTAAGTGCTCAAGTCAAAATTTAAAGACGCAGGGGGAGAAACAAGACATCATGAGACTCAGTAGAAATTATAACAGAATTAAGATTTTCCAAAAGTAGCAGAAGTTTGAATTATTTTTCTAAGGGCGTAATTTTTTTTTTTAAATGAGAGAATTAAAGACATGAGCAAAGAATAAAAAGGTATCAAAACAATGATGCAAATGGACACACATGGGAAGATCCTTGGTTCACTTCATGAGACATCCCTGCACACATGCACAGGATCTAAGCTGGCTATGGCTAGGGGTGTATCTCAACTTGAGGACCCAGTTAGGGGTGTCTGCCTCTCCGAAGGAAGAAATAAACAAATATTTTTAAAAGGCAGTCAGCTTCAAAAAGAACCACATAGATCACATGGAAATGAATTACTGAAATTAAAAACTCACTGGACAGGGGCCAGCAGGAGCTGGACTCCCACATGGCCAACCATGGTTTGAGGCTTAGACCTGGCAGCTTGAAAATCATGCCAGGCATGTGTGCATGAGTGCCCAACATCCCAGGAGGAACATGGTGGAGAAGGATCTGCAGCTTGGCCATCAGCCCTGGGGGGTGATTTCTCACTTTCCTTTCTAACTGTCTCTCTCTAGCTAGCACACTCACCCTACCCTATGGCAAAAGCCTTGAAAAAATTTTAAAAAATAAAAACTCACTAGACAATTAAACAGCAGATCAGACACAGCTGAAGAGAGCATTAATGACCTCGTAGACAGACCAAAGAAATTATTCAGAACAGCACAGAGAGAAATAAAAATATCAAAGAAAGGTATCAAGACAGAGACAAGGGATCAGCAGTTGGCGTAATGGCTATGTCACTGGACTTCCATGTAGTCGACCGCAGTTTGAGTCCCGGACCCAGTGGCTTAAACTCACACTGGGTGCGTGTGCGTGTGTGCCCATCCCTCCTGGGGGATGATCTCTCGCTTTCTATCTCTCTGTCTCTCTCTGTCTTTCTGGCGAGCACACACGCCCTATAGCAAAAACCTCTCAAAAAAATGTAAAAAAAAAAAAACAAAAAAAAGAGAGAGACAACAATGAGTCTAACATTTACCCACTCGGAATGAGACTAAAGAAAATTGCAGAGGTAATGTATGAAAAGGTAACTGCTACAAATTTTTCTATAACTGCTCAAAGACACGAACGTTCAGATCCATGAAGCAAAAGGAAATCCAAACAGTGCACAAGAAAGATTAAAAACCCACACCTAGACAAGATGCAGCAAAATACAGTGTTTAAAGAACAGCTAACGGGAGCCAGCAGGTGGTATGGTGGTTGAGGCGCTGGACACTCCCACATGGCTGTCCACGGTTCGAGTCCCGGATCTGGTGGCTTGCTTTCTCACTCCCCCTGCCTATCTCTTCGGTCAAATTAAAATGAATGAATAAAATTAAATAAATATTTAAAAAATAAAAAGAACAGCTAACAACATGGAGCTTATCCCGTCAGCAAATAGTGACACCCGAGCAAGTTGAAAACTGCTCCGTTTCCCCAACTGTAAAATCAAGATAACATTTCATTGGATGAAGAGTAACTGGACACTAATTTTCTGCAGGATCTGCAGTACTCAACACACAGTAGACATACAAGAAAATGATCTCACAAACATCCCTAATTTGGTGACTGCTCTGGTCCCTGTGTTTTCAGTGTTTATCCTCTTAGCCAAAAGTGTTTCCCTTCGCTTAATGACATTCTACCACATCCTTTATGAGGCATTTCTCAAATGGTCCAACTTCACAACTGCCCCTTAAGGACACTTCTTCCCTTTACCTGCGGACAAGAACTTCGTAAGCTTTTCCTCTGCCCGCTGTAGATTAGGCAAGGCTTTAAGGGGCACTCTCACTTCAGAAAAAGCATTGCAGAGAAAACTTCAAGGCTCTGCCTGCTAAATCTTCCAATAATACTAAGACCTGAGTTTTATCGTATTCCCCCAGTTACAGTAAAAAAAAAAACAAACCTTAAAATACTTAAATACACTATACCATCCACACAGGTATTCATAGGAGTGATTCGACAGTAAATCGTTTAAAGACTTCCCAATATATCATTTAAAAAGACTTTCCTATCACTTACCAAATTCAGAAAACATCAGTTATCAAACTGACAATCAAAAAAATACGTGAGCTCCACGCCAGGAATGGTGTGGTAAAACCAGCATTCCAGTAAGCCACTCATTTCTTTCCTTTTTTTTTTTTTTTTTTTTGGAGAGGTTTTTTTGCTATCAGGCGCGTGTGCTCACCAGAAACAGAGACAGAGAGACAGAAAGGGAGAAATCACCCTCCAGGGGGGATAGCCACGCCATAATCCCTTCTCCTCCATTCTCCTCTCGGGATCTTGGGCACGCACGCACATGTGCCCGGCATGAGTTTAAGCTTCCGGGTCTGGGACTCGAACCGCAGTTAAGTTTATGGGAGTCCAGCAACATAGCCATTATGCCAACTGCTGGTCCCAAGCCACTCATTTCTAAGTAGCACCTAACATTTCACTGACTGCTAACTTGGTAAATTGTGGGCAGCATTCTCAGCACTTTACATGAACTACCTCATTTTAATGTTTGTAGCTCCATCCCCATATTACAGACGCAGAAGTTTGGCTAAAGAAAGATGAAATCTCTTGCTTAAGGTCATCACTTAATAGACAGCAAAGTCAGGATCCAAACCCAGAACTGTAAATTCCAAGTCTACAATCTTGAATTACTAGGCTATACTGCCACGGGCAATACATCACCACGAAAAAAAGCAGGTGGCATGGTGGTTAAAGCACTGGATCCCATGTGGCTGATTCCACAGACCCATGGCTTGAAAATCATGCTGGGCATAAGCACGTGAGAGCCCAAAATCCCCAGGAGAATGGAGAAGGGATGGCAGTACAGCCCCACCCCACCCCACTGAGGAGGGTTATTTCTCACTTTTTCTCCTCTCCCTCCAGCAAGTGCATGCACTCTATGGCACCAAAAAACAAACAAACAAAAAACTCCTTTAAAAGGGGGGGATGGATGGGTAGGCTGAAAGTTTTTTGTGTTTTTTGTTTGTTTGTTTGTTTGTTTGTTTTACAAAAAAAAGTCCACCTAGCAGTTCTTTTTTTTTTCTTTTTTTTTTTTTGGGGGGGGAGAGATTTTCACTGTAGGGCACGTGCGCTCGCCAGACAGACAGAGAGAGACAAAGAGACAGAAAGCGA